GGATTTCAGGTACACAAATTATGAAATGGCTGTGCCAGTAGATAGGGCATTATAGATAGTCAGAGGCAAAACCATGAAAGTCTTCAATATATCTCAAAGGCAATTGCACTTTTATTTTACAGAACTGGATTTATAGGGAGCTATTGAAGAATTTGTGGAGAGAAGTGATACAGTCTGATCTGCATTTTATAAATATCATGGATGCAGTCATGATATTTATCATGTTGTAAATGAGAGAAGTATGTAGCAAGTGGAACCAATAGGATATTGTGGTGCCTTGGATATAGGGAAGAACAGTGGGAAGAATGTAGGACTTTTGGCTTTGGGGTTGAACATTTGCCCAGAGTTGAGGACATAGCTAAAATTGTCAAAGAAACATTCATAGTGGTACTAATTTGGTATGGTTGTGGAATCCTTTGGCAGCATTCATAAGCCCTTTAATAGGTAAAGATGAGAAAGGTTTTAATTAGACTAGTTCTAAAGTTTTAGAAGAATACATTTATAGAACAATAGAGAAATAAAATATGTAGAACAGGTAAAATTCAGACAATAAGTATGTAAGTGGAAAATTCTCCTATCTATGTAGTGAGTGCTAGATGCATACCGGTATTAGACTCTAGTGTTAGACTTAGGAGTAATGGAAATAGTAATAACTATTACTGACTGTTTAATAACTGCTAAGGAAATTTTATAGACTCAAAGAATAGTAACTCATAGATCTAGATCTTCTAGGTCAATGTTCTTTTCCTTAGTGAGAATTTGCACTTCAGTCTCCTTTGTCTTGTAATTTTGTTTAAAAGAAAACAAGCTATAGAGTCCTTGGGTGTGCCCATTATCACTGCCTTGATTATGAGATCAGTAATGTGTACAAGGCCTGGTATCAGGAACCCAATAAAGGTTTCATTTTATAGAAGTAGAAATTGAGGCAAGGTTTTATTTGTTTTCGTTTTAAAAAATTATTTTTGAATACTGTGAAGTACATGAAGTTGAAGAGTTAACTTCTCACAAAACTTAAGTATGCTACTTACTTTCAGGGTGGCAACTATTTTTTTTTTTAACTTTGATTATTAATGATCACTTATTTGTGCCTTACTAGAGCTTTGTATGGAGAACAGATTTGGGCTTCATCTGGATTCTCCAGGATAGAGAGCCCGAAGTATGGTGGTACCCTAGTGGCAATTAAAGCCATGTAAAGGTGTGGTCTTTTTTTTTCCCCCTACACACATCTTAAAGCATTTCATTTTTCACCAGAAAATGGCAGCAACTTTGAAACAGGCGACCACTTTAAACCTTCACCTCGGCCAAGGAGCATGTTAAAAAAGAATAGCCATGTGGAGGAGAAAGATAGATTTGGAGAAGATAAGGAAACTGCCCTCAATGAAGAATTACAATCGTATTCTGTACCTTCTTCCCTTTCAAGATTGAATGACCTACAGTTAGAAGCTAAGAAAGAAACATACTCTGAAACCCTTGCTCCCGAGGTTAGCATTACTGCTGAACTGTTGAACCGTGTTGTTGAATTTAGGCCTTTGCATCTGCTTATGGGAAAGGGACAGAGAATGAATTGGTGTGCGTGTGTATGTGTTTTACTTGTTTTCTTCTGCAATTAATAATTTTAAGTTTTGTTTAATATACTATATTCCATTAGTCTACAGTACCATTAATTGTAAGAAGTAGCATTGTTTTGTGTACCATTAAAGAAGAAGAAAACTCTTCCAATGAAGCTACAACACACCAGTGATTATAAGATGCATCCAATTACAGGAAATTGAAATGTGAAAAAAATTGTTTTTCTGAATCATAATATTGAATATTTGTAGTTTCAAGATTTTTGTTACATATATATCCTTTTATTAGGATATTATATAATTTATATAATTTATGGCTAAGAACAATATAGTCAGTGTTATTTTATTCATTTGATTTTTCATTCAGCAAATGTATATTGAAAGTTCATGGCACTGTTCTGTGCCACTTTGAGATATAACTAAATGCAATTAAATGTGGCCTTCCCTGTTTCCTTCTGGGAGTTCACTGTGTATTGTTAGGAGCTAGAACTCCTAGTCCCTCCCTTAGTATTTCACTGTGGGAAGCAAACTTTCCCTTTTGAACACTTCAGAAAGGAAAGTATGAGAAGAACATCCTTCTCCATAATCTGCTTAGGCAGATCTGGGAAATGAACTAACTTTACCTGATCAAGCTTCTTTCTTTCTCTCAGTACTTGTTAACAGCACTGGTGTGTAAGGATTTCCTCCATGGAAGTAACACTCCCAGAGGAGCTCCTCTGTGCTTCAACTAAATGGAGGAATCCCTCTAATTCAGACCTGAAGTAGGTTTGAAGGCTACCAGTTCAAACTTCCAATCTTCCTCTGCAGTTCAGCTTCACCAGTAGAAAGGTGACAGATTGATACACATCTTCTGACTCTTCTGTGCTATTTCTTTGTTCTGAATAATAGAAGAAAGCAAGCAATTATTTTACATTTAATGACATTTTCTGGTCAATTGAATATTATACTAGTTTCCTGTAGCTGCTGTAAGAAATTGTCACAAACTGGATGACTTAAAACAACAGAAATTTATTCTTTGTTCTGAAGGCCAGAAGTCCAAAATCCAGGTGTCCACAGGGGCTGGTTCCCTCTGGAGGCTTTACAGAAGGAAGTTGCTGGCAGTCCTTAGTGTCCCTCGGCTGTACCAGCATCACTTCAATCCCTGTCACATCACCATGTGGCCTTCCCTGTGTCTGTATGTTTCTCCTCTTTATCTCCAAACATCACCAGTTATGAGATTTAGGGCCTCGTTAATCCAAATGTGTCATCTTAACTAATCGTATTTTTATCTTTATAAGGTTACATTCAGAGGCTCTAGATGGACATAATTTAGGGGGAACACTGTTTAACAGGGACAGGTTCCTAACTTTAAATGCTGGATATTTCTCTTGATTAATTTTTTTTTAAAGTATCTGAAGTTTAAAGTAACATCATACTATGACAGAAAATTTAATAGCGAATAGCCAACCACAATCGCACCACTTGGTGGCAGTGATGTTCATTCTTTTTGTTTGCCCTTCTAGTCTGTTTTCCTATGTTGTTTTATCATATTTGCCTTCTTAACATTTGTAATACTTTGTATCTTGCTTTTTCTTTGTCTCTTGGAATTAAATCATAAAGCCATAAAGCTAGGTGATTTTTGGGACTGCATTTACGTTAATGACTATAACATAGCCCATAATCTAGAGCTATTATTTTATTGTTGATTAGACTAGACACTTCTATTTTAAACTATCCGAATTTCCATATTCTTTATTATAAAAGTCTTCCTGCTCTGAATCTTCTTTAAGTCTACCTTGTCAGAGATTTCCTGTCTATATTTTGTTTAAGCCTTTTTTGCTTTTATATTAAATATTTTTTGTACCTTCACTCTCAACGTTTCCGTCAGCGTTCAGCTGTGCTTAGGTAGCTTTCGTGAACTCTCACTTAACACTGCACCCCTGCCCCTGCAAGCATCACAGCCAAAAATTGGAAGGGGGAGCTACATTTGCTTTCTCACGGCATCCATTCCTCCCACCTTCCCTGAGCACACAGTGTGTGTGTGTATGTGATATCTGTGTGTTATTCATTTGTTTAACCTGTCATTCCTAGGATAAACTCTGATTGGTGATGATACGATATTTCCTTGTGGGTTTGCTTTGTTAATATTTGGACTTCTGTATCTATATTTATGAAGGCTATTGGTCTATAATGTTTTCTTATAATGTTATCAGGCTTGGGTACTGAATAAGTTGGGGTGTGTATCTTTCTCCTTTATTTTTTAAAAGGTTGTTAACTGTGAAACCAGAAATTTGGTGTCGTTTTTTCCTTAAATAAAAATATTTCACCAGGAGTTTTCTTTGTGGAAATGTATTTGGCATTACACTTTATTTTTCATAGATATTTTGATATGCAGATTTTCCTTTTCATCAGTTTGATAATTTGTGTCTACTGAGAAATGTGTCCATTTCCTCTGATAAGCGGACTTTAGAGACACAGTTATTCATGATAGTCCCTCAGCCCTTTGATGACTGGGATTATCATGACATCTTTTGTTTCTAATACATATACTTGTGTCTTCTGTCTTTCTTATTAAATCTTAATAGGTATTGCTTAGTTTTAATTAAAATTAGTTTTATTAACAAACACGCTTTGATTTTGTTAGTTTTTTCTATTGTCTGTTTCCAGTTTAACTGATTTTCAGTCCTTTTTATTCCTTTTTCTTTATGTTTAATTTATTTATCTTTAAATTTGAAAATTTTCTCACTGATTCTAAGCTTTTCGTTTATTCTGTTAAACCCACTCAAAGCCATAAATTTCCTTCTGTGTGTTCTTAACAGCCTTGCATTTTTAGGTGACTTTTATTTTTATTATTATTTTTTAAAATATATTTTTAAATTTCCCTTGTGATTTCTTTTTTAAATTTTATTTTTTAAACTGTCAATGCAGATTTTAGGGTTATGAGATAGTTTTAATAATGCTCTTGGTCCCACAGATCTTAAGAACTAAACTTAAGTGGTAAATCCATTTTTTTTCCCCAAATAAAACAGGATCCAAGTCTTTCACCATCATCGCTTAAGGAAGGTCTTAAAGATTCTTTTTCACCAGGATCTGAGGGAAAAGCATCCATAAAAGGTGGTTATGTCTAATTATTGTATCTTATTTTATTCGTGAATTCTGTGCTGGAATCCTGTTTCTATAAAAAATACCATAGTATTTTGCACAGTTACAACAAAATATGTGTTTGTATTTGTTTGGATTTTATTCCCAACTATGCAGTTAACTAATTCTGTGCTTTAACTTTTTTATTTTCATTTTTATTTTTTGAGACTGAGTCTTTCTCTGTTGCTCAGGCAGAAGTGCATTGTCATAGGTTACTGCCACATCAAACTTCTGGGCTCAAGTGATCTTCCTTCCTCAGTGTCCTGAGTAGCTGGGACTACAGGCACTTGTCAGCATTCCTAATGAATTTATTTATTTATTTTTTTTTTTTTTTTGTAAAGAAGTTGTCTTGCTATGATGCCCAGGCTGGTCTTAAACTCCTGGGCTCAAATAGTCCTCATACCTCAACCTCCCAAAATGGTAGGACTAAAGGCATGAGCCACAACGTCCAGCCTACCTCTGTAGTTTTTTGATGAATGACTTAATCTCTCAGTGCCTCAATTTGCCCAAGTTATAGTATTATCTCTCTCATGAGGGTGTTGTGAAAATTAAGTGATACAGTTCATTTTAGCCCCTACCCTAGTTCCTGGCACAAGTAGGGTGAGCACTTAAGGAAAACTATTATTATGCATGTGTTGGTGCAAAATTCCTCAACATAACATAATAACTAGGTGTAATTTTATAATGAGGCTAAGCTAGGTTTGAGATCAAGCACAGCTACCTAAGCAAAGTAACTAACCTCTCTGGCCTTGTATAGTGATCTTTAAAATGGAGAAAATAAGACTGATCTACCTCAGAGGGTGATGGTGAGGATTAAACAAATTAATAATACATGCAAAGCATTTGCAGTAATACCATAGTAAGCATGTAGTAAGTGTGGTGTGTAGAGTTGTTAACATTATTTCTTTTCTCGGTGTTACAATTTGTAATTTAATGAGACCTAAAAGGAATGGCTATTTCTAGGACTGGAATATGTAACTAACATTTATTAAATGCTTACTATGTAGTATAATTTTTGTCATTTTACAGATGAGAACAACTGAAGTACAGAGATATGGGAAACATACCCAAGGTCAGTGATGGAGCCATATTTTAAATCTTGGCTCCAGTGTTGTTGTTCTTTTCATTGAATAGACTGATTAACAGCTTCAATGATTTCATTCATCAATTGAGTCATCAGTACTCTTCAAATGTAAATGTATAACTGTAATAATAAACTGATTTTAAAAATAAAAATAAAAATAAAGCAAGTGGCCAAAATAATCTCCCCTAGTTTACCTTACTTCAAAACAACTTCCCCATAATGGCCATAATGAAACCAGCAGAATTGATACATGCAGGTTTAGCCAGGAAGAAGCATCCTGGTAGAATTGAAAGTTGGTGATCCCCACAGAAAGCAAGGATTTCTTTCTTTGAACATTCCAAAGTGTGGTAGAATCGGAATATCAGAAACAATTCTATAAAGCCAAACTCAGTTCTTTTGTGCCAGAGCTTGAGCCTGTCCCTTGAAGTACTGAGAGATTAAGTAGCAGGCCTATCTTTGGTGTCCCTTTTTGGTATCAGAGGGAACACTGTGTCATGGTGGGCATGAAACTAACTAAAGCCTGGTTTCTCTGTGAAAAATTGCATTCATCCTTGGATCTCTCCGCATATGTACAATTCAACAATTTTACTACTAGTAATAAAACTAGTAACTGTAATAGCCGCCCTAGAGATATGTGCCTACCACTCACACGGCCTGTTGTTGCAGCCAAGAAACACAGGCTTTAGAATTGAATAGATGCTGCCATCTTAGCATATGCTTCAAGAAGCTCTCCAATTGTGTGTTTGTTTTAGTGTAGCCATTCATTCTATTTGTTAATATGCTGTGTTTCTAAGTATTAGGCTTGTTAGGTGCTTCATCAGGTTAAGAGTAGTTATTTTCTCTTTTGTCGGTCACTTTTGAAAAAAGATTTATTCAAGTTCAACATGTAATTTTCTTCATATTTTATTTTGGAATAAAAAGATTATAGACTTCATTTAAAGGAAAGTGAGCCAATTTCTTATCGACATTATTAATTCAGAAGGGGGTTTTAATACTGGTATTCTATCTCAATATAGTTCAGAATGAAGAATTTGCTGAAAACCATAATTCCCTGAAATCAGATGAAACTGAAGAGAATTCATTTTCAACAGACTTAGTTACTACTACACTTGAGAAATCAAAGGAAAGTCAAGTAACTGCTGATGACCTTGAAGAAGAAAAGGAGAAAGCTGAACTGAGTGTGGAAGATGACACAGCAGTGGATCCACTACTGTCTGAATCTCCGGGTATCTTAATATCCACCAAGGCCACAGGATCCACAAAGGTATTTATATACATTTTATATTACAGATTAAAATTTGAAGTAGAACTTTAAAATACTTTATTTTTGGTGTTATTTACTTTTGAATTACCTGTGTAAAACTCATCTTTTCATAGTGGTATTATATTGTCGAGTGG